GCATGAGCGGCCCGCGCGTGGACGCCAAGGTGGTGCTGCTGGGCAAGGAGTATGTGGGCAAGACCAGCTTGGTGGAGCGCTACGTGCACCAGCGCTTCCTCGTGGGACCCTACCAGAACGTGAGTGCCGGCCACCCCCCCGCCCCCGCTCGCTTCCCCCGGTGCTTCCCTTCTTCCTCCTCTTGTAGACCATCGGCGCCGCCTTCGTGGCCAAAGTCATCGCCGTGGGGGACCGGGCCGTGACGCTGGGCATCTGGGTGAGTGGGCCCGGCCGGGGGGGGCGCGGGCGTGGAGCTGAAGCTGACCCTGACCCCGCCCCGCCCGCAGGACACGGCGGGCTCGGAGCGCTACGAGGCCATGAGCCGCATCTACTACCGGGGGGCCAGGGCGGCCATCGTGTGCTACGGTAAGGGGGCCAGCCCGTCCCGGGGGTGGCGAGGCCCTGCCCTGCCGGCCCCCGCGGGGGGCTCCTCTGCCCGGTGGGTCCTGGTCCGCAGTGCGTGGGGCGGGCGGTGTCCGACTCTCCCCTCCGGCAGATCTCACGGACGGCAGCAGCTTCCAGCGCGCCAAGTTCTGGGTGAACGAGCTGCAGAACTTCGAGGAGGTGAGCGGGGGCGCTTTCCCTTTGGGAGCCGTCAAGGGACTTCCCGTCCTCCGAGGAGCTGTTTCCTCGAGCTGTTGGGCAGCGGGTTCCTCGAGCGCTGGCCCCAGCTTCCTCCCCGCCAACCATGCCCCTGGGTACCTGTGAGGGGGTGCTAATTCCCCCTCCCCCCGCACTACAGCCCCAGGGGCTCCCCGGCGTGGGGGTGTTTGCCGTGGCTCCGTGCCTGGGCTCAGTTGCGTCCGGGTGCGGTGCATGGCTGACCCCCTGCTCCCTGCTCGGCCCAGAACTGCCGCATCTACTTGTGCGGCACCAAGAGCGACCTGCTGGAGGAAGACAGGCGCCGGCGGGGGGTCGACTTCCACGACGTGCAGGACTACGCGGATGGTAGGTCCTGTCTCGGTTGTGGTCCCTTTCCTCCTCCCACTGGGCATGGATCTTCTTTCAGGCTTCAGACCTATCTCTGCTTCATGCTGGTCAGGTGCAGCTTGGGGACCCACCTGGTTCTGGTGCAGGTGGAAATGGGCCCCAGCAGGTGCTAGCCTTCATGTCCCGGGAACGGCTCTGGGGCTGGCGGTCCCTTGGGGGCGAGCCCTCAGCCATGCTGTGTTTTGCTTGGGCTAGTAGGAGACAGGGCCAGCTGGGAAAGGGGGTGGGGGGGCCATGGTAATTCCTGCTCTGTGGCCGTGCTTCTCAGGCACTCACCTGTCATCTTCCTCAGAGATTAAGGCTGAGCTCTTCGAGACCTCTAGCAAGACAGGCCAGAGCGTGGGTGAGTGACCGCTTCTCCATGGAGCCGTAGCTGGAGCCAGGCTGGACCCTTCCCTCCAGAGCGGCCATGCAGATCAAGGGCTTAGTGCTGCCCCATCTCTCAGTTCCTGGGCACAGAGCCCTGACTGGGTCGTGGGTGTGATGCAGGCTCCTCCTTGGCCAGGACCCTGGGGCTGGTAGGGGGTGGGGGGCACGGCCGGGCCTGACTCTTTCTTGTCTCAGATGAGCTGTTTCAGAAGGTAGCAGAGGACTACGTGCGCTTCACTGCCTTCCAGCTGATGACAGGTGAGTGGGGGGAGAGGCATCTCTTGCTCTTCAGCCGGCACAGGTCTGGTGTGGCAGCGTGGAGCTGCCTGCTCCCACCGGCTGTGGGCCACGGCTGGCGGGGCACCCTCCTCAGTGCTCCTTTTCTTGCAGAGGAGAAAGGAGGCATCGACCTGAGCCAGAAGAGCAGTCCCTACTTCTACAGCTGCTGCCACCACTGAGCCAGAGCAACACCCCTGCCATGGCACAGCCCCTGGTCCTTGCACTGGCCTGGTTTTAGCCGTGGGGCTGCAGAGATGGGGCCCTGGCCCGGCCCGGCCCTCTGCTCCCAGCACTGGACAGGGACATGGTTGGGATGCTGGAGGGGGCATAGCTCTGCTCTTGCTGCAGGACCCTGTGGCCATGGGTCCCCTGCTGCTGCCTGCTCCACGGCTGGATCCCCACCTAGCTCCTCCCAGCACAGGCTGCGCTGGCTGGAACTGCACCCCAGGCCCACGTGGATTGTCTCAGCTTTTGTTAAGTTATAGAGATGTAAATAAAGTGCGTTACGGTGTGTGAGATGGCAGCGCTGGGCTCGCTGTGCTGGAACCAGGCTGGTGGCCTGAGGCCTCGGGGAGCGAGCACTGGGGGCTGTGGAATGGGGCAGGCAGGCAGGGGCCTTCTGGCTCCTCTGCCCAGAGCAGGATCAGGGAGAAACCCCTGGTGTGAGCCCAGGAGGGGCCCAGACCCTGCTGTCCCAGACAGGCTGGGCTGAGAGCCCTGCAGGCACCCTTACTCTTGCCTGCGCTGCTCTTAGCAGCAGGGAGCTCTGCTTCAGGCCTGGCCCTGGCCCTGCACGCACCTCCTTCAGCTCCTGCATCCTTCTGGCCTCTTAGAGCCCTTCTGGCTTGGGTGCTGGAGAAGTGCTCCTGTTCCCATTCCTGGAAGGCACCTGGCGCTCTGCCCTGCCACCAAGTCTGTCAGCAGCCATCTCTGACAGTCCCAAGGTCCTGCCAAGCTAGCAGGTGTATCCTGATGCAGGGGGAGGGGACGATTGCTGCTGTGAGCACCCCTGCACCCTCCCTGGGCAACTGCACCAGGGAGAGAACCAGAGCCCTGAGGCCTCCAGCCTAGGTCACCCTGGGGTGGAGGGGGAAGGTAAACTTGCCCGTCAGGCTGCTGCAGCTACCCAGGGCAGATGGGTAGATTTCCCATGTGGGAAAGCCTTGCTTGCTGCAAGCACCCCTTACCCTTTGCTCCCCCTCACGGGCAGAGGGGCCTGCATGCTACAGGGTAGTGGCTGGGGTGCACCAGCCCTTTCCTTCGCCCTGGCTGCTTAAATCTCACAGCCTTGGGGGTTGTGCGCTGGGGGGAGGCAGGGACTGCACCTCAGCCTCCTGAAGTGAAAGGTCTCTGCTCCCTCCCCACAGAGGGGTTGGGGGGAGACTCCCACCGGCACACACGGCTGAGCGGCTGGACCAGGAGCAGCCTGGGCCCAAGGGCTCCGCACTGCACTGCTGCTGCCAGGGGTCAGTCACCACCCACCACAGCCCAGCTCCATGCTCTGAGCAGGACTGTGCCCATGTTGCTGCCAGGCTGAAGCCTAACCTGCAGGCTGACCTGGCAGAAAGAGACGTGCCAGCCCCGCTCCCTACCCATGCTACTCAGTCACCCACCTGGCGAAGCTGGAGCAACTTATCCCAAGGCTTCCCAGTGTGCACCAACATCTTTGCCAGCTGTGGTCCTGGCTGCAGCCATGCACAGGCGCTGGGGAGTGGGTGCCCGCTAACTCCGCCAGCCCCTCCTTTCCTGCCATGAAGGGCTGCACTAGCCACCCCCCCCCATGGGTGCAGGGAGCGCGGGCCCTGACCTGCCAGTGCCCCCAAGACAAACCACACGAGAGGGCATCGGGAGTAAAGTTAAACTTTACTTTACAGTAATCGTTCGTCTATGTACAGAGAATTACAGTACGTGTTCTGGGAGCACCTGGCAGGGCCACTCTCTGCCCATCACACGCAGCCCGGGGCGAGAGGAAGGCCGTGGCCCCAGATTCCCCCCTCTCGCTGCACATGCTGGCCACAGCTCTCCCCAGGCCAAGCAGCGCGGGTGCCGATGTGCTGCATCCACCTCCCCGCGTGCCTCGGGGCACTGGGTGGCTGCGCCTGGTCCCTCCTGCTGCCACCGCTCGCCCCCCTGCTGGCCCCCTTCCAGTGTTGCCTGCATCGGTCCCCAAGGTGCCTGTGTTGCCTGGACCAGCCCCACCCAGCCAGGCCCCGCTGTGACGCAGGTAAAGCTTCACTCGCACCTGGGTGCTGTCTAGACTAAAGCTTACTGCCCTTGCTGCCTCCTGCGACCCAGGGCCAAGCCCTGGAGCAGGACCCCGCATAGCTGAGGGCAAGGGCACCATCCCCAGCCAGAGCCTGGAGCTATAGGAAGGGCCCCGGAGGCAGCAGCAGCAAACCCCAGCTCCATTTCCCTTGTCTGCAGCTGCTAGGGCCCTGCTCCCGCCGCACCAGTCAAGGGGAGGGAAGGGACGAGCCTGGGCGGGAGCGGGTGTGGGGGCTGCGCTGGAGGGCGGCAGCTGTTCCCCAAGCAGGTGCGACTCCCACCCTGTTCTCGCCTTCCCGGGGGCCCGGCGGGAGCAGCTGGGACCCCAGGGCTGGCACCGGACAGGCCGCCACACCCTTCTGCCGCCGGCCCCAGTCTTGCCTGTGCTCAGACCGACCAGTGCACCGACTCCTGCCACAGCTCCATCCCACCCCGGCGCAAGGTTGTTCCCCAGTGTCAAGGTCGAAGTCCGAGGCTCAGGTCCTCTGGGTCAGCACTCAGCAGGCACCACCGGACCGATGAGCCGGGGCCTGCTCAGCCCTGCCGCAGGCGCAGGAGCTTCCGAACGGCTGGCGGGCGGCAGAGGAGCAGGGTGCCTCCGGGCTCAGAGGAGGGGAGATTCGGCTTGTGAGGGACCCACAGCCCGAGCCGGCAGGGGGTGGCGGGACAACACACAGAGCTGCCAAAAGTCTACAATAGCACCAGGAGCGCCCGAGGGCTCCGCCAAGGGCAAACACAGATTAAACGTCCTAGGAACACAACAGCGACGCGAATGCCGAGGTTTCCCTACGAGGTAGATTCACTCCTGCAGGGACCGCCGGCACCAGGAGGCATGGAGCACCGCGAAGCACGGGCACGGGCACGGGCCGGCCTCCAGGGCAGCGTCCTGCC